AGGACTGACTGCAGCCGCCGCCATGACCAGCAGCATGTGAAGTCACCGGGAAGCCACCAGCCACGTGGCAAGGTATAGATTTATGGAAATGGACTAATTTAAGATAAAAGAACAGTTAGCAAGAAGCCTGCCACGGCCATACAGTTTGTAAGCAATATAAGTCTTTGTGTTTACTTGGTTGGGTCTGAGCGGCTGTGAGACTGGCGGGTGACAGAGATTTGTCCTGACTGTGGGCAAGGCGGAAAACTCTAGCAACACCCCCCTCAGGAGTCTCTCTGCTGTCCCTGTCCTTTAGGAGGAGCAGGTGAAGAGGAGGAAGCGGGAAGAGCGTCTGCAGCAGGTCGGCCAGGACGGGAGAAGGCTCAAGTTTGCAGCGAAGCGCATGGTGAGCATCTGGAGGGCTGCGGCATGTGAGGCAGCTGGACGCTGCCTGCGGTGGAGGTGAGGGACCAGAGTGGCAGACTCCAGTCCCTGCTCCCTTGGCCAATAGCTAGGGATCTTAAGTGGTGGAGAACTTGCGTCTGGAAGAGGCATTCTTGAGTCGGGTAGGGAGGCTCGTGTGATGGGGTCAGTCTGGGTGCCCTGTCCTTGGTGAGGACTCTGTCAGGGAGTCAGCGGGGGCCCCCAGTGCTGAGACTTCTTTTTGTCGTTGTTCCTACCCAGAAGAAGGAGGAAGAGGAAACCGAGACTCTCCTGCGCCTCAGCAGGGAGATGCTGGCTGAGGGGACCGGGCCGGACCGCCTGGAGCAGCTGGAGTGCGGGGAGGAGGAACTGCTTCTGGCAGAGTACGAGAGTGATGAGGAGAGAAGAGCCAGCGGGTGAGACCTCCGCTCCAGTCAGTCTACAGCCCTGCGGGTGCAGCTCTGCCCTCAGGCCACCTGACGAGAGGGCCTGATAGCCAGCTGCCCTTCACTCTATTCCGGCTTTTATTGGAGTCCATAAATGCTGGTGACAACCATGGCTGGCCTTTACTCTGTATATGTTGAGATAGTTTTCCCCGTGGTAGCTCAGTGGTGGAATCCTGGAGGCTGTGGATTGGTCCAGTGCCATGTCTTGGCCATTGCTGTGGGCTTATCAGTGGAGGGGAGAGCTAGGCCTGGACCTAGGCCACCTGGCTCTAGTTCCCATATTCCCCACCACTAAACCTCAGCATGTGTGGAGCGCAAGGTCCTAACTGTCAAGGAGTTCCTGACTCAAACTTGGCCACTGTTTTAGGCTTCTGGTCCAGATGGGCAGGTAGGTTCCTATTTTATGAGCTTCACTTGGGGGTGAGTCAGGAAACCTCGATGGGAGGGACTTGGTCACTTCCGCAGCTCACAGAGCCTTTCCAGATCCTCCTTTCTCATTCACACCTTAATTCTCGTGGAGGGAGTCCTGGTCCAGGTGCTACAGCCCGTAGTCACACCCTGAGTAGGCACAGTGACCATAGGTGGATGTGGCGTGGCCATTAGGGGAACAGAACAGAACTCCCCTAGCTGGGGATCTGCGCGGGGAGTGTTCTGTGGGACTCTGAGTAGTCAGTTGAGATGGGCGGGGTGTAACTCTGTCCATGAGCAGCATTTCAGGGCTGGGAGGTGGGTGCTCAGTAAGCACACAGCGCCAGTTTGAAACCAGTGTGTTCGCTGCAGACAAGCAGTGCAGTAGTGTGTGGAGACATGCCAGAGGGGATGTCTTAACAGCTTTGTTTTTGTTTTTGTTTATGCCAGAGGGGATGTCTTAACACACATGCCAGTGTGTTAAGACAGAGGCTTAGGAAACCTGGGCCGTGAGGGCTCTGATGAGGGACCCATAAGCTCATTGGGCTGGAAGTGGGGACAGTGTGTGCTCGAGGGGAACCCCAAGTGTCTGAACAGAGAGATGAAGGAAGAGAGAGAAGACCCAAGGTTGGAGCAGGTACAAGTTTCTCTAAGCCTCAGAGCGCCGTGCATACTTTATGGATGTCATAGTCATTACAACAGGAGACTGCGGAGGGATTAACTGAGCCAGAGAGAGACGTTCCATTTCCAGTACCAGGAAGGTCCTTAAAAAAAGCATTAAAGTTCATGGCTGTTTCTAATGGCACGAGGATTAAGGCAGCTTTATTGCTCTCCTGTAAAGGCCGTGGCAGGTCCCATATGTGCCGTGCTCTGGTGGACACTGTGGTTGTCACATGGACTGATTGTTTCTAGTGAACACGCGAGAATTCATAAGGGATGAATCCAGGCTCTTTATAGTCCCTATGCAACGCACCTGTTTGACTTACAGCCACCCTTTGCCAGACACCAGTGAGGCAGCTGTTTTGTCTTCTCTGAGGGTTTTCGAATGTTCAAAACGCCCTTCTCTCCTCCCGAGGCAGATGTCTTCACTTCCTTCAGAGCCCACTCTAGTCCTACAGCCTGGACAAGGACTGCGGGTCCTCCAGCTTCCTCCGGCTGGACAAGGACCACGGGTCCTCCAGCTTCCTCCGGCTGGACAAGGACCGCGGGTCCTCAGCTTCCTCTGGCTGGACAAGGACCGCGGGTCCTCCAGCTTCCTACGGCTGGACATGGACCACGGGTCCTCGGCTTCCTACGGCTGGACAAGGACCGCGGGTCCTCCAGCTTCCTATGGCTGGACACGGACCGTGGGTCCTCGGCTTCCTACGGCCTGACTCGGGCAGCAGGTCCTCTGTGGACACACCGATCCCATCTACAGAGGGTTTGCTCTTACCTGGGCATTGTGGCATATGCTTGTTATCACAGAAGTTGAGTGTATGAGGTGGGAAGATACGAGGCTTAAGGTTGTGCTGGGTGGTGGTGGCACACAAATCTCAGCACTCGGAGGCAGAGGCAGCAGATCTCTGAGTTTGAGGCCAACCTGGTCTACAGAGTGAGTTCCAGGACAGCCAGGGCTATGTGGAGAAACCTGTCTTGAAAAACAAA